ACAAGAATCAGGAACACAGACTCCCATATATAAAGGTTGAGTCATCTAAAATATACCATTTAATTAATTTTGATTTGTGGTATTTTGAAGATAAGATTTTTAGCAATGAGAAATTGAGAAAAAATTTTATTGATGGAGATGTGGACTGATGTGGATTACTGAAAGAGTAACAAAAATTTCAATAATTTGTAATATATCAGCTTTCTTTTTTGAGTTCATGGTGAGAAAATGGACTCCTTTGACTTCTCTCCTGAATGCATCAGTATTTTAAGATATCAGAATAGAATAGATACAGTATGTAAGAAAATTAGAACAATGAACAAAATTTTAATAAAAATCATTCCCACAAGAATATAGCTTTTAAAATATATTGAGAATATATCTTGAAAATGATTTATTATAACAAACAAAATATATCATTGAGAGAGAATAATTTTTAAAAATTAATTAATATAAAATAAAAATAAAATTTGTTAGTTAAAAGACTATGTGATAAGGATCATCATAAGGCTATGAAAGATTCAAATTTAAACATGATCTGGATTCTTGTTATATCCATATAATAAACGACTACCTTGTTAAACATTTATATATATATATATATATATATAAAAATGGACATGTGTGTCCCTATATTTCACTTTTCAGCCAAAACTACACATCACACACGAATGGTGTTTGTATGTGGTAGTAGCCCCAAGTCTCCATTCGTGCACTATGGTGGTTGCGTCTCGATAGCTATAAGGGTGCGGGAGATATGGGCTTGAAAGTGGTTGAAAGTGGAAGATTTTCTATTTCGATTTAAAAAGTTTTCGAATTTGAATTTAAATTTGAATTGGTTTGATTATAGAACAATTGTAAACGTTCCAGAAAATTGATCAAATTGAAAATAGTTTGTTTAACTTGACATAAAAATTCTCTAATTAGTCTGGAAACGGGGGACCTAATTCTTGCATTCTGTGAAAACAGGTAAGATTGGCTATAATGTAATTATCTTAATCTTCACTATTGTTACTTTTTGTCCACAAATAAAAACCCAGCGAAGCGGGTCCTTGCTGCTAGATTCTAGATTACTTAGAAAAACAGTCTTTTATATATATAAAAAAAACTATATTACATACAAATGTACAAACAAATAAAAACCCAGCAAAGCAGGTCCTTGCAGCTAGTATGTAACTAAAACTTCATTATTATATAAAATGTAACATTGTACTTACAGATCTGAACATAACCACAGCTAGTGCACAACTGGCATTGGAAACAAAGGGCACGTTTGGAAATTGTAACCGGTGTTACTGGTAACTGCCAATAATTACCAAAGCATTTAGAAAATGTGACTTAAATAACCAATCACATTTAAAAATCACTGTTATGACTCATAACTGATTTTTAAACGTGCCCAAAAAAACACTACAAAGGTCAAAGGTATGGGATTGCCTGACCATGTCAAGGGGCAATTCAGGGTTACTGCCTGGCAATTTACATACATGACAATTCTTATAATTTATCATGAATAATTTATGACTTTAATCTCATTTTTGATTACATTACATTGGATATAACCCATCTAAAATAAGCACACTTGAGGCTGGCCATTGTGGGCTGATGCCTCAATCTAAAAAAAAAAAAAAAACAGGCAAACAAGAAAACTTTTTTCCAGATAAACAACAATGATATAAATTTATATATATATAAATTTTGAAAAACTATAACAACATTTTAAAATATCTTATGCAGTTTTGAATTTCTATATTTACATTGAAAATTATCCTTTTTTCAAATATAATTAAAACTTTTGGAAATAATAAACAAAAGCATATACAAAAATTAGCAATTATTCAGTATATTTTTTAAGTGAATCAATAAATAAAATGTAGCAGTTGTCCTGTCAAATAAAAGAAATTGACTAATAAACTTCATTTCACTATTATTACACTTTATTTAAACAAAAGGAATCTTGAAAGNTTACCAGAATGATTACAATATGGCAAACTATAATTATATACAAAATATTTTTAATGTTATATATTAGAATAAAAAAAATTCAATATAACATTGTCTACAATATAAGTTATATTATAGACAATGATATACATTCACTTACTTGGCCTGCATGTCCATTACTTGATCTACTTTCAAATCTTGATTGAATGTTAAAACTGAACTCAGATCATACTCAATACTTAATACTCCTGCCACTATCCATGATATTAATATTACAATTCCTACCACTATAGTTCCTACAATAGGTAACCTGAAAATAATAATTAAAATTAATAGAATATGTCTTTTGAATGAATTCATAGTAAAAACAACAAAAATACTAACTTCCATAACAGCAATAAAAATATTGGACTAATGATATAAAATTGCATATCATTTGCTAAGTACCATGTCCATCCCATGCACTAATCAAAAGGAAAACATTGTTAATTTCATAAAAGTTCATTTTGATATCATATTTATTTATATATATTTATAATAATAAAACTTACCATATCATTTGAATCTTCAAAATTCAATATGTAAAGTATATTCCACCACCAGTTTTTTTTACAGTTTCCATTATCTGTTTCATTTGGCCAAGATGGTCCAGAACCTAAATGTAGCCATAGAGTTGAGTAAAATCCCAACAACATTGCAAACACAGGTGTTAATCTGTAAAATGCTTAACTTTAGTTTTAAAATATATAGCCTATATATATATATATATATATATATAAACAACAACTTTTGTAAAATTGTATCTTGCCTCCAAATTCGGTGAACATAATAATAAATCCAATTCACATTGGTTTGTTTTTCAAAGTGTTCTTTAAGAAACAAATATGACAGAAGAAATCCACTAAAAATAAAAAAAAAAATTTAATTTAACATTTATAAATTTAATAATTATTATATTTTAAAGTAAAAGATTAATTTTATTTTTCTAAAAAGAATAACAATTCAACAATAGCATATTTTTGTGAGCAAAAATGTTTTATTAAATCTTAATGTTTTCAGAATATTACACTATCTTCAATATTTTTTAGTTTGAATGCAAACTATATATATACTGTATATACAAATGAATATCTTCAAAAAATTTTTCTTAGAAATTTCTAAACATATTGGTTTGCATTTTAGTTTGTACAGTACATACTCACACCTATTGAATGTTGTTCTTGCCAGCCATAATGAGCATTATGTTACCTGAATATAGGCTACATTTCTTGTGAAGCTTTTTTATGAATAGAACAATAATGCTGTGGCTGCATTTTAGGAATTTTACTGTCATAAGAATTTATACCAAGGACCTTTGACTCCATGAGATCTCAGGAGAATGATCACTTGATTCAAGAAAACTAGATATCTTAGAATTCAACCTAATCAAAGATACAAACCTATTACTTCACAAGTTTTAGATGTTACCTCAGTTGTTGTTAAACTGTCAATCAATAATGTTTCAGACTCCAGCAGTACATGTGCAGTGTCATGGCAGTCAGGTATATCCTATGGGACAATGAGGAAGATGATGAGAAAGGTGTAGTACAGGGGTTAACTCTAACCAGACTGCAAGTTGACCTTTTTTTTCAGGTGTTAGAATTTTTCACCGATCTATTCTGGCTTGAGTAGCTAATATTGAAAGATTAATTGCAGGCCACATAAATCCATTACATGGGCCACATCCAGCCCGTGGGCCGTATCTTGGCCATGCCTGGTGTAGTAGGATTCATAAAAGATTTGTCACAAGAAATTGCTTGCTGTTGAAACGGAAACTCAACTGAACTTTGCATTGACTTTCTTTGCCTAAATGTAAGTGGATGTGTCATGACAATGAAAGATCCTGTGGAGTGACAAGATACATTTTACTTCAATGGAACAGTGAATAATCATAAATGTC